ATATTTATTTGCTGCTTTTACTTCTTTGTCTGAGAAATGTCTGTTCATTTCAGATGCCCATTTTTGAATTGGGTCTTTGAATTTGGGGAGTCTGAATATACAGGAATATTCTTTGTGGAATACACAAACAGGCAGTAGAACTGGGAAAGACAGAAGACAACCAGTAATTCACACGTACTTATTAGAGCAAAGTCAGTGTGTAGACAGAAAATTGTACAATACTTTTGACTAAAAATAGCTGGAAGAATGTCTGAGGAACCCTGGAAAAATATGGTAAATATCATTGATACACACATACACACACACATACACTCTTTCCTAAGTGTGTAAAGTAACTACGAGGCTATAAATTAAGGTAGATATTGTCTTATTCATCTATACATGCCCATAGCAGTAGGTATTCCTTAGATTTAGTTCTTAAGGAATAGAACACTCTGAGGAGAACTAAAAATTTCAAATGTACAACTGCTGTTAAGTAATGGACCTCATCACTGAACTTGATGCCTATTAACAATGATAAAAAAAACACCTAAGTCTACAAATCAATTCTTCCATATGGCAAATAATTAAGCTGTAAAAATTATTACTGAGGTAAAAGTAAAAATGGCAAGGGTTAACAGTTAATGATTACTGTTAAAACCTAATGCCATGAAATATGATTCCACTTCTACAAAGTATCTAGAATAGGCAATATATTTTTATACACTCAAAGTAGATTAGTAATTTGAGATTAGAGGAAGGTTGAATGAGGAGTTACTACTTAACAGTTTCTTCTTGAGCTGATTAAAAAGTTCTCAAATTAGTGGTGATGGTTGCCTAGTATATTGTATGTACTGTACTTAATGCCACCAAATTATACTTTTACATGGTTACAAATGTCAATTTTATGTCATATATTTTACCACAATCTAGTACAATAGAAAAACTTAATGCTAACATCTCAAATTCAACTCTCCTTCCTATTTCTTTCTGTGATGACCAGTAACTTGGGATTATAAATTTACTCATTTATTCTACAAATATATAACAAGCTTATGCTATATACTGAGGCTACAAGAAA